AATTCGATGGGAAGGCACCGTGGGAAGCATATAGAGTACAATTTGAGCTCCTGGCAGAAATGAATGGATGGACAGAGGAGCAGAAAACAGTGTACCTGGCAACGAGCCTGAAGGGACAACCACTGGAAATACTTGGACAGTTGTCAGCAAACGACAGGCACAACTATAGAGCACTGATAGCTGCTCTAGACCTTAGGTATGGAACTCAAAATCAGTCTGAAGTCTACAGGGCTAGGTTTAAGACGAGAATCTGTGGTAAAGGGGAGAGCCTGCAAGAGCTGGCACAGGATTTGGAATGTATGGCACACAAGGCCTACCCAACTGCGCCACCCGATCTCCTCAAGTTGTTGCTGAGGGATCAGTTTGTAGATGCCTTGGACAGTCCACAACTGAAGATACAAATAAAGCAAGCACACCCCTCTACTATGCAGGATGCAATGGCTAGAGCTCTTGAATTCGAATCCTATGTTAAGTCAAGCACAGAGGTACCAAGGTTGGTACAGTCATTAGGATTCAATGCCAGAAAAGGGCAGCTTTCAGAGAGGTTTGAGGGACTTTGCTGGCACTGAAACAAACCTGGGCACAAGAGAGCTCAATGCTGGAAACTTCAACACAGGGAAGATGTCACGGCAGGAAAGGCTGCTACCCAGAAATGTTGTTGGAACTGTGGAGAGCAAGGACATATGAGGAGCCAGTGTAAGAAGAAGTCTACCAAAAAGTCAGCCTCGGGGAAACCAGTAGTGGTTGGTACTGAGGGACGCCCACCAACCCTCATTGTGAAAGTCCCAACAGCTAAGTGTAAAATGGCAAGCACACATAGTGTCTACATGACAGAAAAGCTGGATGGCCAAAAGTGCAACTTTGTCATAGATTCTGCATCCCAGCAAACCCTCATGAGTATCAGGGTGCTAGATCACAAAGGCATACCAGAAGCCATACAGAAGCTGTGTGGTGTGACAGGACATTCTGCAAGGTTGTGGGGACCAGTGTGGGTAACTATTGAGCTCATAGGCTTAAAGGACAGACACAAAGTATACTTGGCTGACATTGAAGACCAATACATATTAGGGTTGGACTGCTTACTACCGAGGAAGTGTGTAGTTAATTTTGATGAAATGACCTTTGGGAACAACAAAGACCAAATTCTGATACGTGTTAAAAGAGATGTTGAGCTAACCAGGTGCCATCAAGCTGAAGTCAAAGTGACTAAAGCAGTTGATGATGGTGAAATGGGACTAGGTATAAATATTAAAGCAGAGCAGGAGAAAGACCAAGATTTGAAGCCAATAATTGATTTTCTACAAGCAAGTGTTTTGCACCCTGCTTGGGAGAAGGTGTTTAGCTTAAGCCCTGTGACAAAGAACTATTGGGCACAATGGGACCAATTGAAGCTTGAAGATAGTATTCTTCTCTGGAGATGAGAAACTGCAGATGGAAATGTGACAACCTGGCAAACAGTTATACCGAGAAAGTTACGGGAAGTTGTGCTGCATCAATCCCATGATAGTTTAACAGAAGGACATCTCAGAGATTAGAAGACATTGAGTCACCTACGACAGAGATTTTACTGAATAGGTATGAGGCAAGATGTGGAAGAATGGTGCAGGACCTGTAATACATGTTGTGCTAAAAGGGGACCCAAGCATAAGGGACGTGCTCCAATGAAGTTATATCAAGTTGGCGCACCAATGGAAAGAGTAGCCATTGACATTGCTGGTCCTCTGCCCCAAACTCGTGCTGGAAACAAGTACATTTGTGTGGTGATGGATTACTTCACCAAGTGGCCTAAGGCATATGC